AACACCATGACTGGGGGGAAACACCATGACTGTCTGGGGGGGAACACCATAACTGTCTGGGGGGAAACACCATAACTGTCTGGGGGGAACACCATAACTGTCTGGGGGGGAACACCATAACTGAGAGGGGATTGTTGTGAACGGTTGTGATAAGGGGGGAAAGCGGGTACAGAGCAGAGAGCCAAAACCCTCCAGGCCTGCTCTTTCCACCCAGTCCCCCATCCAAGCACCAGCCAGCCTCAATCCCGCTTAGCTTCCGGGCTGGGGCACCCTCAGGCTGCTAATAGCAACTTGGGGCTGCCAAAAGGAACCCCCCCCCAGGAAGTCCCAGCTTGAGGCGGGGGCGCAGGTGGGCAGGAAATGAGAGGCCAGAGGGTCAGAGGGCGGTTGGGAAGAGCTGCCAAAAGCGGGGGAAGCGGGAAGGGAGCGGGAGGCCAAAAGCCTCTGGCCTCCCCAGGTGGTCCCTTCTCGTAGCCCCAGCCGTGTCGTACCCTGCTCGGCTTCCAGGCTCCTGTGCCAACTTGGGTCAGCTGGCATGGACCCCCACAGTCCGTGCTGGGGGTGCAAGTGGGCGGGAAACGGTGTCCAGAGAGTCAAGGGGCGGCTGAGGAGTGTTGTGAGAAGGGACAGAAAGCCGGAGAAGAACGGGAAGCCAAAACTCGGCAGCCCTGGTCTCCCACCCAAGCCTCGGCCAGGCCCAACCCTGCTTAGTTTGCGGACCCGGGCACCCTTGGGTGCTGCGGCCCACAGGGTGCCCGGACAAACCCCTGCAAAGAGGTCCCGGGACGCGTGGACGCCCTTGGGGGGAGCTCTGTGCCAACCTGGGTGGGCCTGGCAGGGTCTTGAGTGGGGGCCGCCTCCAAAGCCCGGGGCTGGAGGCCTTGGCCTTTCCACCTTCTTCCCAACACTTCCCACCCATTCTCTGGCTCTGCCCTCTGACTCACTGGCCTGCGCCCCTGCCAGGGCCCCAGACTATTCCATGTGTGTTTTTTGGGCAGCTTCCAGGTGCCATAGCAGCCTTTGACAGCCTAGCCCAGAAGCCAAGCAGGGTCAGGCCTGGCTGGGGCTTGGGTGGAGAACTCCCTAGTGAGACGGGTGCCGGAGGATTTTGGCTTCTGCTTGTTCCCCTTCCCAATTTCTCCTGCTTGTTGCAAACCTTCCTAACCGCCCCCTGACACCCTGGCTTTCCCTTTCCCATTTCCGCACACACCTGCGCCCCCCTCAGCGATCTGGGAAGTCCCCAATGGGGTCCGTCTTAGCAGCCATTGGGAGCAACAGCAGACTGAAGGGGCCCCAGTGTAGAAGCCAAGCAGGGTCGTGCCTTGGGGGGGATTGTATGACGGAATGCTTGGGTAGATTGGGGGCCAGAGGCTTTCGGCTCTCTGCTCCCTCCCTGCTTTTTGTTGTCCCAATGCGTTCCAACCACCCCTCGTAACCAGAATCATGACCGACAGCACCCCATCAGGACCACCAGACCGTTTTTTTGTTTGTTTTTGAGATGGAGTCTTGCTCTATTGCCCAGGCTGGAGTGCGTTGGAGTGATCTCGGCTCACCGGAATCTCCTCTTCCTGGGTTCAAACAATTCTGCTTCAGCCTCCTGAGTAGCTGAGATTACAGGCATGCGCCACCTTGCCTGGATAATTTTTTGTATTTTCAGTAGAGACGGAGTGTCCCCAATTTGGCCAGGCTGGTCTCGAACTCCTGGCCTTGTGATCCACCTGCCTCGGCTTCCCAAAGTGCTGGGATTCCAGGAATCGTGCCTGTATTGTGGTGCAGTTAGCAATGGCAGCTCATCTACGGAGAAACCACATACGTTTTGAGTGACTTAGACCTTCTCACTCTAAATTCTCCGCTGAAGAGCCGGCCATCCTGCTCCAGATGTTTTGATCCAGCTGATCCCAAACAGCGCCAGAACAGCGAATCTTCCCTCAGCCTCTTCCCCTGAGACCTTGGGCCAAGCACTCAGTGTAATTCGTGCCTGGACTGACCTGCGACTGCTTATCCCAGTGGTCATCCCAAGGTAAGGCACCCTAGCTCTGGGGGGCTTTCTCTAATAGGCAGGACGCCCCTTTAGAAAAGCGCACCTCAGGGTCCTTCAGCAGATGTGAGTGGAGCACCTTTCCTTGGTACGATGCCCCAAGTGGAAATTGCTTCAACTAGCCCCAAGCGGCTTGGTTTCCCAGTGACACAATTGCACAGACCCTGTCTAGTCCCTCAGACTTGACTCTGGGTTGCATTCGAAAACATTGGAGGTCCGGGCACGGTGACCCACGCCTGTAATCCCAGCACTTTGGGAGGCCGAGGTGGGTGGGTCACAAGGTCAGCAGATTGAGACCATCCTGGCCAACACGGGGAAACTCTATTTTTATTTTTATTTTTTTAAAGATGGGGTTTCACCGTGATGTTCAGGCTGGTCTTGAACTCCTGACCTCAGGTGATCCACCCACCTCGGCCTCCAAAGGTGCTAGGATTACAGGCATGGGTCACTGCGCCTGGCTGAAACCCTGTCTTTACTAAAACAAACAAAAACAAAACGAATTTGCCAGGTGTGGTGGCACGCACCTGCAGTCCCAGCTATTTTGGAGGCTGAGGCAGGAGAATTGCTTGCACCCAGGAGGCGGAGGTTGCAGTGAGCCAAGATCATGCCACTGCACTCCAGCCTGGGCGACAGAGGTGAGACTCTGTCTATAAAATAAAATAAAAATAAAACATCATAACAAATTTGACCTCCAAAGTCTCAAAAAGAAGTGCTTAATTTTCCTAAGCAAGGTGGCTTGCCTGCTTTACAAACTTCTGGGTCAGAAATCTTTTTTTTAGACACTCTATCACCCAGACTGGAGTGCAGGGGCACAATCTCAGCTCACTGCAACCTCTGCCTCCTGGGTTCAGGTGATTTTCCTACCTTAGCTCCTAGCTTAGCTTCCTGAGTAGCTGGGATTAGAGGCGCACGACACTACACCCAGCTAATTTTTGTATTTTTAGTAGAGTTGGGGTTTCACCATGTTAGCCAGGCTGGTCTTGAATTCCTGACCACGTGATCCGCCGGCCTCGGCCTCCCAGGGTGCTGGGATTACAGGCATGAGCCACCTCGCCTGGCCCTGAAGTTCTTTAAGTCCAGGAATTTATGACTGTCTCTCTGGATCCCAATCTCTGCCAAATCTATCCGATGTGCTTGGCTAAATTCTCTAGCCCCACTGACTCTTCTGACAATAACCCTTTCTTTTCTTTTTTTTTATTTTTTGAGACGGAGTTTCACTCTTGTTACCCAGGCTGGAGTGCAATGGCGCGATCTCGGCTCACCGCAACCTCCGCCTCCTGGGTTCAGGCAATTCTCCTGCCTCAGCCTCCTGAGTAGCTGGGATTACAGGCACGTGCCACCATGCCCAGCTAATGTTTTGTATTTTTAGTAGAGACGGGGTTTCACCGTGTTGACCAGGATGGTCTCGATCTCTTGACCTCATGATCCACCCGCCTCGGCCTCCCAAAGTGCTGGGATGACAGGCGTGAGCCACCGCGCCCGGCCAATAACCCTTTCTTTACCCATTCTGTTTTCCCCAAGCAGCTGGACTGGTTGAGGCCACCCTGCACATAACACCTTCATGTTCAACCGTACCTACTCCATCTGCTCCTTGTCATCTCAACCTTGGATGTCATTTTCCAGTTCCACCTCCTTTTCAGGGACTCTGTCCCCTTCAGGTTGGGGGCCACTTATGATCCCACGTTAGGTCCACACAAGGTCCTGCTGCTCTGAGAAATGGCAAAGGTGCATCTTTACCACCTATTGTGCTCATGAGGAAAAGTCCTGCCTTTGGTCTGTAGCTCAGTGATGGGCAGATGAGGTTCATGCCTGGAACCCTCAGGGGTCTGGCCTGGGGAGAACGGGAGTTCCTAATGCTGATCCTAGATGGGGCTACAGAGAGGGAAACACTAGCAGGGAATGCTGTGATCATAAATTACTTGTTTAACTGAAGGCACGAAGAAGGCTGTCATAAAGCCAGTCACCTATGCCAAACTAAGAGACGTAATACAGGGGCCAAATGAAAACCCAGCTCTGTTTTACTCCAGGTTGGCTGGAGCTGTGAGAAAATATACTAATATGGACCCCGAGAGCCGAGAAGTCCTTGGTATTCTGACTGTTCATTTTATTAGCCGGGCTTCTCCAGATATTAGACACAAACTCCAAACACTAGACCAAGAACCACAAATTCCATTCCCCACTTTGCTGGACACGGCCTTCGAAGTCTTTAATAAAGAGGAAAAATTGCAGTGTGAATGAGATAGAAAAGATCAAGAAAGAGATAAGTGGCAGGTTCACTACACGGCTGCTGCCATTGCGGATTCTCTGCCCACCCCAAGGGCCCCAGGTCAGCCGTCAGGGTGGAGCCTAACAGCCACTAAGGAGCCCACTATGTGCTGTCACTACAATCAGCTGGGCAAATCAGCTGGAAATGCCCACAGCTTCCCCAACCACATTCTGGTCCTTAGTGACCCTGTCCTCACTGGAAACAAGCAGGACACTGGAAACAGGACTGCCCCTCTCTCCTTTGTGCGGAGGGTCGTCACAAAACCAGCAACCCCAGTGTGTGAGCCAGTTTGGGAGAATGGCAACCACAAATGCCCCAAACTCTGTTCTTTGACTCTGAGAAACTTAGGGAGCTCAGAAGGCAGAAAGAGATGACTGGTGGGGTCCAGAAGGCATCCAGTAACCCTAACTCTGGCAGGGAATCAGATTGAGTTTTTAATTTACACAGGAGCTACTTATCTAGCCCTAAGTAGTTTTTTAGGTCCTACCTTTTGGTCCTCAATCCTCCTCGCCAGCATATATGCCAGGCCAGGCCAGGCCACAGCAGGGATGCTTCACCTCCCTCAACTTTTTTTTTTTTTTTGAGGTAGAGTCCTGCTCTTTTGCCCAGGCTGGAGTGCAGTGGTGCAATCTCGGCTCACTGCAACCTCTGCCTCCTGGGTTCAAGTGATTCTCCTGCCTCAGCCTTGCGAGTAGCTGAGACTACAGTCACCCAGCTAATTTCTGCATTTTTAGCAGAAATGGGTTTCGCCATGTTGGCCAGGCTGGTCCCAAACTCCTGACCTCAGACTCACAGACTGCCTCTGTGATCTCAAATCTCCTATTACATTTGTTAGTCACAACCCCCGCAAGCCTGGTCTTGATGGTCACTTAGAACCAAAATCTACAAGCTGCTGTCGAACTTCAAGTGTTCTGCCTGCCTCGCCCTCTGAAAGTGCTGGGATTATAAGTGTGAGCCACCATGCCTGGCCACTTCCCCCTTAGTGTGCACCCTGGGGAAAAATGTTTTCACGTACCCTTTCCTGGTCCTACCAAGCTGCCCTATCCCCTTACTTGGAAGGGACATAATGATAAAACTCCAAAGAAGTGTTCTTTTTTTTTTTTAATTTTTTTTGAGATGGAGTCTTGCTCTGTTCCCCAGGCTGGAGTGCAGTGGCATGATTTCGGCTCATTGCAACCTCCACCTCCCGGGTTCAAGCCATTCTCCTGCCTCAGCCTCCCGAGTAGCTGGGATGACAGGTGCCCTCCACCACATCTAGCTAATTTTTGTATTTTCAGTAGAGGTGGGGTTTCACCATGTTGGCCAGGCGGGTCTTGAATTCCTGACCTCAGGTGATCTGCCTGCTTCAGCCTCCAAAGTACTAGGATTACAGACGTGAGCCACCACCCCCAGCGAAACTCTGATTTTTCAATATCTGCAATGTTACTTCCAACCTAGCGTGCTTAGCCAGTCCTTATGCATGCACAGGCCTCATAACACAACCTTCTTGAGCAACCGTAAAGGCTTCTTCATGGGGCTCCCCTTTTAAGGACAGCCCAGTGTCTCTGACCCATGGGTTTTAGGCACAACTTGGCAGCCAGAAGGTGATCACAGTACAGTCTTCAACATCGCATCCGATACTACTGTTTATACTTGGGCCCCTTGCTGATACGTCTTTTCTTCAGACAAACCACATAACCAGCCCTAGACCCTCTCAGACCTATGAAACTAGCTTTCATCAAATATGCATTGGCTGGGTGTGGTGGCTCACGCCTGTCGTCCCAGCACTTTGAGAGGCCGAGGTGGGAAGATCACAAGGTCAAGAGATCGAGACCATCCTGGTCAACATGGTGGAACCATGTCTCTACTAACAATACAAAAATTAGCTCGGTGTGGAGGCACATGCCCGTATTCCCAGCTACTTGGGAAGCTGAGGCAGGAAAATTGCTTGAAACCTGGAGGCAGAGGTTGCAGTGAGCTGAGATCGTACCACTGCACTCCAGCCTGGCAACAGAAGGAGACTGTCTCAAAAAAAAGCACCACATAACTCACTTTTTTAGATTTGTCATAGTTGTTTTGTCAGAGGGAAATGTGGAGCCCTAAGGAGTTACAAGAAAATTGGAAAATAGGCCAGACGCAGTGGCTCATGCCTATAATCCCAGCACTTTGGGAGGCTGAGGTGGGCGGATCACCTGAGGTCGGGAGTTTGAGACCAGCCTGACCAACATGGAGAAACTCCATCTCTACTAAAAATACAAAATTAGCCGGGCATGATAGTGCATGCCTATAATCCCCAGCTACTCGGGAGGCTGAGGTTGTGGTGAGCTGAGATCATGCCATTGCATTCCAGCCTGGGCAACAGAGTGAAACTCCATCTCAAAAAAAAGAAAAAGAAGAGAAAGTTGGCAGGAACAGAGACAGAAGTAAAGGGCAGAGAATGTTCAGAGAAACGGTGTCCACCACAAACGGCTCACTAGTGACCAAGCACCCTATTACCAGCACCCAGCTCACGGCCCGGCTGCACCAGGAATCCCGTTTGCCGGTATTCACCCAAGCAGCACGCCCTGTAAAACCTCCCCCTGGCCCCTGCCACTTGGCAGAAAGGTCTTCCTCTTCTGTGTTGCCCGCCGCTCCCTTGCAACGTATATCCCCTTTTTCTCTAATAAATCTGCCTTTCTGAACTCATTCCTGTCTTGGTAAATTCTTTACCACCTGTGTGCCAGCCTCAGGCAGTTGTTGACCAGAGCAATTCCTATATCCCCCCGTTGCCGGTAGAAGAGACAGAAGTCCCTCAGCAGACCTCTCCTGTTCTGATAGGCCAAAACCAAGTGACACGGGCCTCTAGCTACCTGGAAGGCTGGGAAGTGAGCGTGCAGTGTTCCTCACAGCAGAGAAAGAAGGGGCTGGGCATGCTGCTGGGACCGTGGTCAGCAGGTCTGGGTGCTCTGGGAGAGCACCCAGGGAGTGGGAAGGCCGGCATGTGCTCATAGATTAATGCTCATGTGTGTCGTCCTTACAGGCAGAGGCGGGGTGGCAAGAGAGGGCAAGAGGCTGCCATTGTGGGCACAGTGGTATCTGCTAGGGCTGAGCAGGAGGAAGAGAGCTCATCGAGGTGCATGGTTCGGGGGGGAGGAATGAAGACAGACCCCCACCCACAAGTGTCAGGAGAGACACCCTTTGGTGAGCGTGGCCTCCATCACCATGCCAAGTGACACCAGAACCCCATTGCCCTGCACGTGAAGTTGGAGGTGCTGTGGAGCTTTGAAGACAGTGAGAAACTGACACGGATTGACAGGGCCCCAGGGCCGGTCCCCTCCACCGTTGCCTCAATCCGTGTCAACAAGGACAAGATCCGGGCTAATTCCCGCAGCCACCCCAGTAAGTGCCGTGCAGCTGACCTGCTGCTGGGGTGTGGTGATGGGCCACATGCAGCTCCTGTTGAGCCTGTGGATTGGGGAGCAGAAGCAACAAAACTTACCTGTCAGCACATGCTCATCCAGGACGAGGCGGGCTGGCTGTTTGTACAGCTACAGCAAGAGCAGGGCGATGGTGCCCAGGCTGAGGCTTTGGGGCCGGTAAGGGCTGATGGATGAGCCAGCCATTGCTGACACCCAGGCTGCCCAGTATCCCTTGGTGTTACGTATCATCCTGGAGGAGTCTGCTACTCACCACACCTAGTCTTCAATGTGGATGAGACAGGACCGTTCAGGAGACGGATGCCCACGCGCTTGCTGCTGGCATTGGAAGGGGTGACTGTGCCTGGGCCCAAGGCCTCTAAGGCCCATCTGACCCTACTGCTTGGTGGCAATGTAGCCAGCAACTTCAAGCTAAAGCCTCTGCTAGTGTACATCTCAGAGATTCCTCAGACCCTCAAGGGCTGCCCCAAGGCCAGCCTCCCTGTGCCTTGGTGCTCCAATCGCAATGACTGGCTGACTCCCAGTGTCTTCCAGGATGCTTCTGCCCTGCCATGGAGACCTACTGTGTTCACCGTGGCCTCCCACATCATGCCCTGCTGCTTCTGGATGGTGCGCCCTACCATCCTGCCCATCTGCGTGGCCTTTCAGCCCATGTGCACGTTGAGTTCTTGCCCAAGAACACCTCCGCCCTAATTCAGCCCATGAACTAGGGCATCAACACTGCCTTCAAGGCCCACAACCTGCGCCGCACACCAGCCAGCTGGTCCAGGAGACTGCTGATGAGGACGGGCCCTCTGCGTGGGAGTTCTGGGGCAGCTACACTGTCATGACGGCCGTGGACAGCATCGCTGAGGCCCGGGCAGACCTGCAGCCTGCTACCAGGCACAACGCCTGGAGGAATCTCTGGTCTGAGTGTGTGCCTGCTGGTGCCCCCGAGGCTGGTGTGGTGCCCAAGCTCCGCCACAACACTGTGGCACTAGCTAGCCATGTGGCTCTTGGGGATATGGCTGAGGCTGATGTTGCCTGCCTGCTGCAGGCCTGTGGGGAACCTCCCACTCCACAGCGTCCCCCAGGATGCAGAGGATGGGGCCACGAGCACCTCTGGGCTGCCTTGGGAGGCAGGGAAAGGCCTGGCCTCCAAAAGGTCACAGCCAAAGCTCAGAGAAGCCATGAAGAGTACAGAGACCAGAGGGCTGGTGAGGGAGTTCTGAGCCATGAGCAGCCGGCCCAGGTTCTGTGTCACTTTGCTGCTGGCCTTGATTCCTTCTGGAGAATGAGCACAACTGGGAGCATAGCCTGTGGGTGTCCCGGGGTATCCTCAGTGCTCTTGCCCACCTCCAGGAGCTACACTGAGACAGGAGGCTCAGGCGGCTGCATCGTTAGGATGCCCTATGTCAGTGGCAACAAGGGAGTTGGTGGGAAGCTTGCATTTGTTCCAGGAGAGGGCTACAGAGCATGGGTGAGTGGCCCAGGGCACAGGCCTGGAGGGACAGACTTCTGCAGCTGTTCTGCATGATTCTGGGCTTGGGCCTTATCTCAGATGAACTCTGCCTAGTGATCTTTTATTTCTGGGGGGCAGACACTACCTCTTCTCGCCCATGGTTCTCACATCTCATGTCCTGTGGCCTTTCTGCAGTGACAAACACATAGCACCAGGCTTGGGAACAAGAAGGTACTGTTCCCCATCTGCGGGTCAGCCGCAGGGCTCAGGAACACCCACCCATGGTTGAGATGCACCCTGAAGCCACAGTAATTGCCCACGAGGGCTGCTTTCACCTGCGCCCACCTGCTTCTGCAGAAACAGACGCACCTGAGCCGCGTGGAACGTGGGGTGGGGTCGCATCGGGGGTGGAGAAGGCAGCGCGGAAAGGAGCTTGCAGGGCGGACAGAAGCTCCGGTCTTCGGGTGTTTCGTCTTCGTCTCCGCGCGGCTGGGCCAGTCCAGGCAGGTCCCCAAGGTGAGTCCAGGTGCGGGGCGCCCAGACGCATCAGGAAGCCGGGATGGGGTGTCCGCAGGTGGTTGGGGCCCCTCCCCCTGTCTCCCCAATTCCTGGCATATTACAAGTGCCCCTAATTTATACAGCGAATTAATCCACTCACCGCGGCCCTAAGGAGGGCTCATGGCTTGTAATCCCAGCACTTTAGGAGGAATAGGTGGGTGGATTGCTTGAGGTTAGGAGTTCGAGACCAGCCTGACCAACATGGGGAAACCTAGTCTCTACTAAAAATACAAAAGTTAGGCCGGGCGCGGTGGCTCACGCCTGTTATCCCAGCTCTTTGGGAGGCCGAGGCGGGAGGATCATGAGGTCAGGAGATCGAGACCATCCTGGCCAACATGGTGAACCCCCGTCTCTACTAAAAATACAAAAATTAGCTGCGTGTGGTGGCGCGTGCCGGTAATCCCAGTTACTGGAGAGGCTGAGGCAGGAGAATCACTTGAACCTGGGAGGTAGAGGTTGCAGTGAGCCAGGATCATGCCACCACACTCCAGCCTGGCAACAGAGTGAGACTCTATTTCAATAAAAATAAAAAAAGTCGGCCATGGTGGCACACTCGTGTAGTCCCATGGTCCCCGCTCCTCCGGAGGAGCAGAGGTGGCAGTGAGCTGAGATGGTGCCACTGCACTCCAACCTTGGTGACAGAGGGAGACCCTGTCTCAAATAAATAAATTATTTAATAAAAAATTAGCCAGCTCTGTAGTTCCAGTTACTTGGGAGGCTGAGGTGGGGGAATCAGTTGAACCCGGGAAGGGGAGGCTGCAGTGAGCCAAGATAGCACCACTGAACTGCAGACTGGGTGACAGAGACCGTGTCTCAAAAAAATAAAAATAAAAAAATAATAAAATCCAGAACCTGACTGAGTTGAAATCCTGCACGATCGCCCCAGCCACATTAACCTTTGCCTGTGCTGTTTCTGCCACCCAGAATGTCCTCCCTCCAGCTGTCTCCTCCTTGGCACCTGGGGGGTGAGGAACCCTAAGTGGGTGGGATGGGGCTGCCTGGGTCTGGGGAGCACAGATCAGCCCCTTTAAAAATGGGCATTGGTGGCTGGGTGTGGGAGGCCGAGGCGAGAAGACCCAGAGTAGCCTGGACAACACAGTGAGATCTCATCTCTACAAAATAACTTAGCCGGGTGTGGTGCTGCACACCCACAGTCCTAGCTACTTGGGAGAATGAGGTAGGAGGATTGCTTGAGCCCAGGAAGACCCCAAGGCCATCAACCTGGAGGTGAAGCTCGAGGTGCTGTGGTGCTTTGAAGCTGGAGAGAAGCTCAGTAGAATCAGGAAGGTGTTGGGGCTGTCCATCTCCACCTTGGCCACCATTCATGACAACAAGATCTGGGCGAGTTCCCAGGCGGCCACGCTGCAGACGGCCACCAAGTTGACACGCATCCACAGCCTGGTGATAGAGAACACAGAGCAGCTGCTGAGAGTGTGGATCGAGGACCAGAGCCAGCGCCACGTGCCTGTCAGTGTGGTGCTTGTTCAGGAGAAAGCCCACAGCCTGCTCCAGAACCTCAAGCAGAGCAGGACAAGGACGTGGGCGCCTAGCCCGAGAGCTTCGGGGCCAGCCGTGGGTGGTTCGCTGGCTTCAAGGTGCGCCACAGCTTGAGAAGCATGGGGGTGAGCAGGTGAACTGCAGGTGCGGGCCTGAAGGTGGCACACAGGTACCCAGCGCCAATGTGCAGGGTGATCCTGGAGGGTGGCTACACACCCCAGCTGGTGCTCAATATGGATAAGCCCGGGTCCTTCTAGAAGTGCCTGCCCTACAGGACATTCATTTTCCTGTAGAAGATGAGGCGGCCCCCAGGGTCAAAGCCACCTGAGACCTCCTGACCCTTAAGCTCCGTGGCAATGCGGCCGGTGACTTCCAGCTGAAGCCCCTGCTGGTGTGCCCTCAGAGAGCCCATGTTCCCTCAAGGCTTCCTCCAAGCCCAACTTGCCCGAGGTGTGGCACTCGCATAAGAAGCCTGGGTCACCGTGAGCCCCCTCCAGGACTGGTTCACGCACTTCTGCCCAGCGTGGAGAGGCGCTGCTGCCAGCACAGCCTTCCCTGCAAGGCGCTGCTTATCCGGACAGCACCCCAGGCCACCCTGGGAACCTGGACGACCTCTCGGACCACATGGGCACAGAATACCCACCAAGATCCCCACAGCCCTCTTCCAGACCATGAACCAGGATGTGGCGGCCCTCTTCAAGGCCTGCTGCCTGCGGAGGGTCTTCTGCCTGCTGGCTGCGAGTGCGGGCAGCAGTGAGGGACTTCTGGCAGGA